GAGCCATGCGCAACGCAGGCACTCAATTACCAAGGAGTTTTAGGCAAAGCAAAGGTCATACAGAATCAGACTGCCACAGTAGTAAAGCAAAGAGGACTAGTAGGGGGAGGGGGGACGTCGGCAGATTTGAATAATTCAGTTGACCCATTTGTGAAAAACTCGCGGCCTCGGTGGGAATCGAACCCACACAACAGGGGAAGGCTTTTGCACAGCCAACGCTCTACCATTGAGCTACGAGGCTCACCGCGCGCCGTGAATTTTATTTCACTTGGGTCGATTTACCCGCTCAACCTACTTATAGCTGTACAAAAGCCTTCCTTGCGGTGTGGGTTCGACTCCCACCGAGGCCGCAAGTTTTTCACAAATGAATCATCTGAAAGAACTAGCAACGAAGAAAAACTGTGAAGATTCTTCGTAGATCACAACCTGCTCAAGTACCGGCCTGGATAAATATATAAATACTCTACAACTACACGGAACTACGGTCAAACGGAGGCTCTGGATTTTTCGCCTTTGCTTAGAGTCTGAGACCAAGTTCTAGTCCAAGGAATAGATCCTCGTCATGACAATTAAGTCGTAGTCTAAAGTTGGATTTGTTTTGCTGTGAGAGTACAGGCCGGAAAATCACGTCATTGCCTGAACCAGAATTAATATGCAATGTGATGAAAATCCCGCCCATACGTCTTCCCCCGACGGGTCTATGACTTGGGATTCGTATTTTCATCAGAGGATATATAAATAATCGTCCAAGTTAACCTGAACCTTCGTTCACGTAAGGGGGAGTTCAATAAATGTACAAAAGAGGTTAATTCGTCAAGTTATTCTTTCTGTAATAAAAACAGGCATCACTGATCGCAACCCATAAAATTAAACGATTTGCAGGAGGTCAAAAGTCTAACATTCAACCCGATTTGGATGCCAAAATAATTATACAAGAACCGGAGGATTTCGGACTCACTGATGTCAAATAGAAGATTAGAGCACATTTCCTGCTATCTAAACTTGTAGATAATATTTTTGACTATTGCATCAATGATAGTTTCTTTCACGGACGTGCATGTTGTGCAGTTAGTAAAGAAATCTCCTTAAATATCAACAAAATTACAGAAATTACCATGTTATAGGCACTACCATCACTTATTTCCCATATATTCGTGCTCCCCCAAGAAAAAATATCGTTTCAACGCCGAAAAACAGAGTGCATATTGAACAAAAATATGGAACTTCTTCGAAAAAAAACTGACGTACACAAACAGTTGGAAGGCATCCTGTCGATACATAAGCAACGGAGACGCTAAAGTTTAACAAATCTGCCAAGTTATTCGCATTTTGCTGAAAATTCTAGGGCAGAATCACCAAAGCTTATTAGCTACTCCTTTACACTGCGTCAATGGAGGACTGATTGTAGTCCAAATAGGGTGTGTAGGAGAATTCGTGCCCATCTATTAAGATTTCATATAGAATGGACAAATCGGATTATCTTTTTCTATCCGAGTTCAACTTTATTTTCGATGAAGTTCTCCAGCTTTCAAAATTAACGGTAATGAAATAAAACCGTATAAATGAAACCGTTTAAGTTTCCGAGGGACTGACAGGGCAGCATTTAGGAGGCCAAATAAGCTGATATTTCAA